CTGTCAGGAGCTGGCTCTGGGGCTGAGTCAAGGGCAGGCATGACAATATCAACAGCTGGTTTGTACATAGCTCAGTATATCTGCCTCGCCCCCCTTTTGTGCGGCCTCTGGTGCTTGCTGGACACTACTGCGCAGCTGTAATAAGGCAACTGAGTACATTTTTTTAAAAAATCACTCTTTGGACACCACCCCCCACACGTCACAATCTGCAGTGAGATATGTGTACATAATGGACTTCTGTCTCCCCCCCTTTCTATGCTAGTGACCGTTAACTACACCCCCTGCCAGTGAATCCCTCAGTTCCAAGGCTTGCTGAGTAAAGAAGCGCTTCCTTTGGCCCGTCCTGAATCCGTTCCCCATCAACTTCATTGGGTGCCCCTGAGTTCTAGTATGCTGGGAAAGGGAGGACAGTTTTTCTCTCTCTCCCATTTCTCCAGGCCAGGCATAAATTTAGGAACCTGTCTCATGTCCCCTGCTCATCTTGAGCCTTTCCCCAGGCCAGGGGGGGGGTCAGTCAGGGCAACTTGTCCAGGGCCTAAAATCCTGAGAGGTCCCCATGTGGTCTCCAAGGCCAATGCAAAACTACTAGATGTAGTCCTCTGGCTTAATTCTGACAAGCAGGGGTCATTTCGGGCAGGAACGCACAGGAACAGCGTTCCGGGAGTAACAAGCCCGGCCTGGCCGCTGGACTTCCTGCTAAGGCTCCCAGCCTTCAAGCATTTGTTTCTGTCAGTAAAATGTAGGGGGAAAGAGCGTGTCAGACCTGACAGCAGCCACCATGGGACTTGCATAACTCATACAGTTGCTCCTGCTCAACAACTGCTGCCCCATGAAGTGCTGTGTAGTGGTTAGTGTTCCAGACAGAGATTTGGGAGACCGAGCTTTGAACCTGAGTTGGGAAATACCTGGAGATCTTTGGGGTGGAGCCTGAGCGGTGGGTGTTGCCTTCCGACTCACTTCCGGTGATGTCAGGGGTGTGTGGCCTATGCAAATGAGTCATGCAAATGGGTTATGCTAATGAGCTCCTGCACCTCTTTTTCTACGAAACGACCCCTGCTGACAAGCCACACTTGGGTGGGCATGCATGTTCTGACAATGTCTGCTCCCTCTTCTCCCCCCCCACCTCCTGAAATGTGCAGGGAACAAACATCTTTCCCTTGCTTACCTCCGTGCTGCGAGACCCCGGCAGCTTCAGCGACCCAGAGAAGTTCAACCCGGGCCATTTCTTGGACAAAGACGGGCACTTCAAGAAGAACGAGGCCTTCATGCCCTTCTCCACAGGTACCCCAAACTGGCACATGGAAGGAATCCCTACCGAAATTGCTCCAGCGGGCTAGAAGCACCACTCCCCCCCCCCTACACACACAGAAGAAGAAGAAGAGGAGGAGGAGATTGGGTTTCTACCCTATGGCCCTTCACTACCCAAAGGTGTCTCAGAGCGGCTTACGTACTCCTTTCCCTCCCCCTCCCCACAACAGGCACCCTGTGAGGTGAGTGGAGCTGAGAGAGCTCTTGACAGAAACGGCTCTTTTTCAAGGACAGCTCTTATCAGAACTACATTATAACAAACAAGACCACGGTGTAATGTAACCAGCAAAACAATAAATCACCGTGTATGAGTATACACTATAAGCAAATATTTTTATATAATGCTTTTGAAATTAAATTGTCAGCAAAAATACAACTATAACAAATTAAATGCAATCCTCTCTCAGTTTGGTGTAGTGGTTAAGTGTGCAGACTCTAATCTGGGAGAACCGGGTTTGATTCCCCACTCTTCCACTTGCTCCTGCTGATGTGACCTTGGGTCAGTCACAAGCTCTGGCACAGCTGTCCTTGAAAAAGAGCAGTTTGTGTCAGAGCTCTCTCAGCCCCACCCACCTCACAGGGTGTCTGTTGTGGGGAGGGGAAGGGAAAGGAGTTTGTAAGCCGCTCTGAGACTCCAAGTGAAGGGTGGGGGGTATAAATCCAATCTTTTCCTCCTCCTCCTCCTCCTCCTTCTCCCCAGCCCCTTACTCCCAGTCTGGGTTTGCATTTAGATTAAGATGGGCAGTAGCTGTGTTACTCTGTCTGTAGCGATAGAAAAGAGCAAGAGCCCACGAGCACCTTTAAGACTAACAAAATAAATGGCAAGGGAGGCGCTTTTGCTTTAGCTCATACCATGCCTCAAATTTTGTTAATTCTTTAAGGTGCTCCTGGACTCTTGCTTTTTTCTACTGGGTCTGGATTGAGCACTGGCGGTGCGCACCTGCTGGACTGGCCCTTGCAGAGGGGCCTGGTGCCCTCTAGTGGCTGTTTGGGGGATGGCAAGAGCAAGAGACAGAATTTTTAAGTCTGGTGGTTGTTCAGTCGCACAGTCGAGTCCAACTCTTCGCAACCCCATGGACCAGCTCCCGCCGCATAGGCATAATCTTCGTGGGGGCGGCGGGGCTTCAGCCCCCGCCGAAATTTTCAGGAAGGTGCTCAGCCTCCCCCATGAGCCACCCTTGCTCCTAGCAAAGCAATGCCTCTGGCCCAGCCCCAGCCCCCCCCCCCGGAAATTGGAAAGTCTACACCCTTGCTGCCAGGTCCTCCTGTCTTCCGCCATCCTCTGAAGTTGGCTCAATTTCATGTTCGTTGCATCGATAACACTTCCTGTCCATCTCATCCTTTGCCGTCCCCGTCTTCTTTGACCTTCGGTCTTTCCCAGCATCAGGGTCTTCTTCTCCAGTGAGTGCTCCCTTCTCATTGGGTGGCCAAAGTCTTTGAGCTTCAGTTTCATTATCTGGCCTTCCAGGGAACAGTCAGGGTTGATTTCTTTTAGGATTGACTGATTTGATCTTCTTGCAGTCCAGGGGACTCTTGGGGGTGGGGTGGGGGCATTTCCCAAACGGTGCCGGTCTTTGCTGATCAAAAATCCAAGCCGACCTCGTTCTGTATAGGCTTGTCCCTGTTGTTGTTGTTGTTGTTTCTGGGTGCAGAACGTGTGCCTTCAGCGGCCTGTGCGCAGCAGGAAATCAACAGGCGAAGCTTTTTGCCAGCACGACGTGGCCAGCGTTACCTGCTGATTTCCCAGCCTGAACACCTGCCGCCGAAGAGGCACGAGGCCTCGGCAGGGCTGCGCTCAGGGTGGGGCCAGGGGGTGCCCAACTCTGATGGGAGCACGGAGTCACCCCACTTAAGATTTTTTTTAAAAAAAAAATAAACCAGTCTGGTCAAGATGGTGACACTTCTGCTTCAGCGGAAAGAGTCTGTTTTTAGAATAGGAACAGTTCTGGATTTGAAAATAGCCGTGGCCCCTGGCATGAGCCTCGGGGCTCCGAAATCCACCCACCCACCCACTTGCCCTGCCCACCTCTGCTCCCACAAGACTCTCTGTGCCTGGGGTGCATCTTCCAAGTGGAAGACTCCCCCCCACCTTTCACACTGAAATGACCCCGAAACAGTCTCCCCTCAGCTGCTGGGATGGGGGAGCCCTGCAGAGGGCTGCAAGGGGGTGAGGCCAGGGTGTCCGTCTCTGGTTTGGGAAATACCTGGAGGTTTTGAGGGCGGAGCCTGAGGAGGGCGGGGTTTCAGGAAGGTATATAATTCCACAGAGTCCACTTTCCAAAGCAGACATTTTCTCCAGGGGAGCTGATCTCTGTTGCCAGGAAATCAGCTGTAAGCAGGGGTCATTTCCTGCGGGAACGTGCAGGAGCAGAGCTCCGGCAGTAAAGAGCCCAGGGGGTGGGCACATGCAACAAGCCCCACCCCCTGCTCCCAGCAGCCCTCAGTCAGAGGAGCAAGAAGCAGCCAGGTAAGCTGCGGAGCCCCCCCCCCCACCGGGTCCAGTGGCACCTTTAAGACCAGGTTTTATTCAGGTACAAGCTCTCCCTCCTCTGCGAGGACAGATCTGCATGTTCCCCCCCTCCCCATAGCTAGCAATCCAAAACAGTCCAGTGGCACCTTTAAGACCAAGCTTTATTCAGGTACAAGCTCTCCCTCCTCTGCGAGGGCAGATCTGCACGTTCCCCCCCTCCCCATAGCTAGCAATCCAAAACAGTCCAGTGGCACCTTTAAGACCAAGTTTTATTCAGGTACAAGCTCTCCCTCCTCCGCGAGGGCAGATCTGCACGTCCCCCCCTCCCCATAGCTAGCAGTCCAAAACAGTCCAGTGGCACCTTTAAGACCAAGTTTTATTCAGGTACAAGCTCTCCCTCCTCTGCGAGGGCAGATCTGCAAGTCCCATCCCCCTCCAACAGCTAGCAATCCAGTGGAGCCTGAGTGGTGGGTGTTGCCTTCCGACACACTTCCGGTGATGTCAGGGGGTGTGGCCTATGCAAATAAGCTATGCTAATAAGTTGTGCTAATGAGCTCCTGCACCTCTTTTTCTACGAAATGACCCCTGGCTGTAAGCAATGCTCCCTCTATGCTGTGGAGTCTTGTGAGCAAAAATTCTACTTTGTGAGCGACTGGCCTTGACGTTGTGAGCGAGCGATTTGGCTGCTGCATAAATCAGTTTGCTCTGGAACCCCATCCTTCCTGGGCTAACACAAAAAAGCCGGTGAGCCGGGGGCTTAAAAACTGTGAGCTAGCTCACACTAACTCAGCTTAGAGGGAACACTGGCTGTAACCCCGGAAATCTCCAGCCACTGCCTGGAGGCTGGCAACCCTCAGTGAGGCACAACTTCAGAAAGTTGTTATCTGTGTGGGGGAAGGTGATTATGATTAGGGGAAAGCATCTGAATTTTTTAAAAACGCTGTTCTGTCCCTGGTGCTGAGAATTCACAGCCATAATGCCCGTGGAGACTTGGCATCTGAAGTTCCTTTTTGTTCACTGATTTGGCATTCGTTTCTCTTCCAAGTCCTTCCCTCACCCCCGAAGGTGCCAGTCCCTTCAAGAGAGAAGGCGGCCACGATCCTGCAGCTCCACCTTGCCAAATACCAGTGAACGGCATGCAGTGTTCCCTCTAAGCTGAGTTAGTGTGAGGCTAGCTCACAGCGTTTTAGCCTCTGGCTCACACATTTTTGTCTCCGCTCAGGAAGGAGGGCTCCAGAGCCAACTCATTTATGCAGCAGGCCAATGTTCCCTCTAAGCTACGGAGCTCTGTGAGCAAAAATCCTACTTTGTGAGCAACTGGCATTAAAGTGGTGAGCGAGCGATCAGGCTGCTGCCAGTGCTCCCCCTAAGCTGAGTTACTGTGAGCTAGCTCACAGTAACTCAGCTTAGGGGGAGCACTGGCAGCAGCCTGATCGCTCGCTCACCACTTTAATGCCAGTTGCTCACAAAGTAGGATTTTTGCTCACAAGACTCCACAGCTTAGAGGGAGCATACCTGCTCCCCGGTTCATGTTGCGCCACCAAAGGCAGGCTTGGAAGGGTGCCCCTGCTGTTTTCGCAATGGTTGCTTCCTTCTTCCTTTGGTGTAGTGGTTAAGTGCGCAGACTCTCATCTGGGAGAGCCGGGTTCGATTCCCCACTCCTCCTCCACTTGCACCTGCTGGATGACCTGGGGCAAGCCGTAGTTCTGACAAGAGCTGTCCTTGAAAAAGAGCCGTTTCCTTCAAGAGCTCTCTCAGCCCCACCTACCTCAAAAGGGTGCCTGTTGTGGGGAGGGGAAGGGAAAGGAGTTTGTGAGCCGCTCTGAGACACCTTTGGGTAGTGAAGGGCCATGGGGTATAAATCCAATCCCTCCTCCTCCTCCTCCTCTTCTTCTTCTTCTTCCCTGCAGGCAAACGCATCTGTGCCGGGGCCGGCCTGGCCCGCATGGAGCTGTTCATCTTCCTCACCTCCCTGCTGCAGAATTTCACCCTCCGGTCTCCTGTCGACCCCAAGGACCTCGACCTCACCCCGCCCGTGAGAGGGTTTGCAAACATCCCGCCCACCTACCAGCTCTGTGCCCTTCCACACTGAGGGCAGAGCGGGCAAGAAGGGGGCGGGAGGAGGACGAGAAAGGTCAAACACGATTGGTGATTCTGGGAGGCAGGAAACCTGGGTGGGGGAGCGGATGGGCAGCTGTCAAGAGCTGCAGCGGCTGAATCAACCAGCACTGAATAGAACGTTGTTAGTGGGGGTATATATTTAGGGTGTTGCCACAATTTTGTGGCAAAACAGATCTCTAGGATGGAAGACCTAATCTACGTCATCCTAAGGTGCAATCTGTGAAGCCACCTTGAACCACGAGGGAAGTTGGGATATAAATGTTTTAAGTAAATTAATAAATAAAATAAAGTAATTACCTTTAGTCCTACTGTTGTCTGCTCCAGTAAACGACAGCCCACGCTCGGGGCACGATCCAGCCAACATCCATCCCGACCAAAGGCCCACCCAAAGGGAAGGTGCAACATCTGTCTCCCGCTTAGTGTTCCCTCTAAGCTGAGTTAGTGTGAGCTAGCTCACAGTTCTTTAGCCTCCAGCTCACACATCTTTGTCTTCGCTCAGGAGGGATGTGGCTCCAGAGCCAACTGATTTATGCAGGAGCCAGATTGCTCGCTCACAACTGTAATGCCGGCAGCTCACAAAGTAGAACTTTTGCTCACAGGACTCCACAGCTTAGAGAGAGCCTTGCTCCCGCTCCGCTTGGTTTTCAAGGAAACATCATTAATGTTAATTGATTACAGGCTGGAGACCCCTGAGGAGTTGGGGGGGGGAGCCATTGGGGGAATTCTCCCTGGCCCAAATCTTCTCATTTGCCCATAGGGAATAATGTAGCCCACACTTGTCTATAGGAAGTAATTGAAATCACTCTTGCCCATAGGGAATAATGGAGACCATGCTTGTCTATAGGCAGTAATGGAGACTATGCTTGTCCAAAGGGAATAATGAAGACCACACCTGCTTATAGGGAATTGTGGGAACCACACTTGCCTATAAAGGGCTGCGGTGGCTCAAGTGGTTAAGGCACTGAACTGCTGACAGGAGCAGTTTGAGACCCGAGTGTGCCGCATGATGGAGTGAGTGTTCCGTGTGCCTTGGTGTCTAGTCATGCCGGCCGCATGCCCACGGAAATGTCTTCGGGCAGTGCTGGCTCTTTGACTTGGAAACGGAGATGAGCACCACCCTTAGAGTCAGATTCGACTAGCTTTTGAGCAACAGAAACCTTTACCATAACTACATTGTGTAAGGTACCACAAGGAAGTTCTCTGGAAAGGTGGCATACATTTTTTCTATGAAAATACACAGGTGATGTGAAAAATCTCTGAGATCTTGTTGAGCTGTTGCCTGTCTACTCTGAAAATGCTGACCTTGATTGACCAATGGTTTGATTCCATGTTAATGCGAAATTACAAAGGGAAGAAGCAAAATTGAAGCTGGGTTTTCAAGTCAAAACAGCTAGATTGAGCAATCCAAAATTATCCCTATTCCTATAAAAGAAGCATA